TTTTTTTTTTTTTTTTTTTTTTTTTTTTTTTTTTTTCTACACTCAAAACATTTAGTACTGAGAACCTTTTCACTGAAAAAAGGCACAGTGATTTGGCAAGTGTCAAGGTACAAAATTCAGATTTTATAACTGCATAAATATACTGGAAAATATTTGGAAAAAAATATTTAATAATAATCATCAGAAATCAAGAACAACAACATAGTGTGCAGGCTGGTCTCTATAAGCATGCAATTTTTTATCATGTTGTTAAAACACGAGTAATGAAAAATAATGAAAAAAGAATTTATGAATTATTTTAAAAAAGTCCAACATTAAGCGTCTTTACTTCATGCTCTGCCTACAGCTTTTCTATGATAGGAAGAAGAAGGTGGAGAGGTCTGTGTTGTGTGAGCAGTTCATGGAACGAGCGTCCCGTCCACAGGAACTCATCAATGTTGGGCTGCTTGAGGTAAAAAGAGACTCCCCCATTCTTTGATTCTTCAACGTTTGAGTTTTCTATGTATAATGTGTTTCTTGTTGCAGGAAATGTCCAATGTTCAGAACATATATGAAAATATGAAGACATCAGTCATCAGTCAGATGACAGCAGGGGAGGATTTTTCCGTAAACATAGTCCGTAAAGACCTTGTGTCTCGGCTTCGCAGCACTGTCCTGGATTACTATATGTGGCAAAAGAAGGTGAGAGAAGTGAACCGACATGTTCTGTCATGTCAGATTATTTAATTTTCTTTTATGTCCTTTCCTCTTGTGTCTAGTTATTTTCACTGTGTGTACATATACTGTACATTGTATTTGTTTGATCTTATCCTTTCCTATTCATTTTTTAAATTTTTTTATTTGATTGTGATAAAAGATAGTTGTTGATCAGATTTGCAAATCATTCTATTTTGTGTTATTAGTAGTGTTTGCAAAGCTTCTCAAGCTTCTCAGCCAAAGTTTTTTTTTTAAACTGTGGCTTTGCAACATAACTTGAAAGAAATGTGACACTCAAGTTTAGGTCTTCCAACCAACCTGCCCAAAACCAAATGAGGCAAATGTATGGCTTTTTAGGGCAAGACCTTACCTCTGTTATTACCTGTCCACTTTCACCACTGATTTAATGCTGTTTTTGGTTTTACAGGACAGTGTTGATGCCGAGGGAGAAAGCAGTGAAGGAACATCATCACAGCAGGAGGTTTGACTTGTTTTCTCAAGGGTTATTTTGTCAGAATGCAAACGGAATGCTAAAGCTATGTGGACCTGGTGTCATATGCATAAAAATAATCGATTTAATGGAGTAAAGCATTTGGGCTGCGTCACATTCAAGACAAAATGTGGTATTAGCCATCTAGTATAAGATCTAGTATAAGATCTTTTCATCTCTGTACATTCACATACATAGATGTGTAGAGTAGATGTTCATTTTTCTTTTTATCTGTACTTTCCTTTCTGCTGCTACATTTAAGTAAAATACTTATCTCTCTTACCTTTTATTATCCTCATCCACTAAATCTGATATTATGACATGGTGTGTCAGCAGATCTGCATGGTGTAGTATTTCAGCTTTGCTCTTCTGTAATTTATTTTTTCTATACGTCAGTAATTGTACGAAATCTTTTGCCCAATATCTCAAAATTTTGGCATCCTGGGGAAGAAATTTTTTTTTTTTAGGACAGAACACATAATTTGAGTGTTTTTTTTGAGTGAAAATGGTGGAATAGGATTTTCTTTTGCATTGATTACCCATTATACCATAGTTTTTATTGAACTTTGATTTTATATAAATCCAAAACAGATAAATATGTGTTTCCACAGTCCATCTCCACCATTGTCAGACACGTGTTACCGTGCAGATATCTAAATTCAGACATAAATGTCATCCATTGTCTTTTCTCTGATTATATGGGCAAAAGCTTAAAAAAAGGCCCTACAAAAGCAAATAAAACTGAGTTCAAACATGTTCATTATGCCGAAATATAAAACCCGCAAAATCAAGTGTATCATATTTGTTTCTACATGTTCTTGCAACCTTGCTAAACAACAAATATCACAAGGGTAGTGTTGACTGTCTGCCTGTTTTGTGTCCTTAGTGCAGCAAAAGAGCCGACCTCCTCGCGTCCATCAAATCAAAAGCATTTGGAGAAGCCCCAGAGGTCTGTGTGGTACATGATTTGGTGAAATATATTTAAGTCATGTTTTATTGAATAAGTACCATAAAATCGAGTTGCAGTTTTGATATTTTTAATGGAAAAAAAAATATAACCCTGACATAAGTGTTTCATAGTGATAACTATGTTTATTTTATAATATTTTAATGTATCTTTTTTAGTATAGGTTCATGTTTATGTTTCTGAAGTGGAAGGTGTTATTAAATGTTTTATCTTTTTATAGTTTTTAAAGATATTTTGGCTTTATTTATGATTCCACTTGACATATATGTCTGTCACTTTTTTTTCTGAAGTTTGTTCGATACTCTTTGAAAATCGGTGACGAGTAACAAAAATAAATGATGTATTTGGGTCTCAGGCCTCTAAATCAAGACGGCATCGTCAAGTGGAACTGGATACCTCAGCTACGGGTGCTGAGCGCGCCACCATGTCAGGATACACCCGAATTTCCATACAATCACTCAAAGCCAGAACCAATGAAAGCGTCCATATTTCAGGTAAATTCATCCCACAAATTTCAAATGAAAGTACAAAAGGCGAAATATCTTGTCAATGTGTAAGCCCTTAAGAAAAAATATGAAAAAAGTAGACCTGAGTCAAACCATGAGGTCTGTAAAAATCTTGATAGATACTTTGGTAATTGTTCACTTTTCAAATGTTCAAAATAAAAACAGGTAAATGACACGCACCAATAATTAAATCAAGTATGTTGCTAAAAGACAGTATTGCGGTGGGAATATTTTGCATAATGTAAAACAGCTGTCATATGAATTAATCATCCTTGTTGATCACTTTGACTTATCCAGATGATTTGTGGAAAGACAACACAACGACCACTCAGATCGAGCGTCTTACCAGGCTGGAATCAGAAGGTAAACTTCATAGAACCTTTTTTGACTTTGTTCTGTCTTCTACAGTTTAATGTACTTAATGGCTTATCTTTGCGTTTTATTTTCTCATTTCAGAATCACCAAAGAAGTTTAAACGATTTAAACGGTGATGATGGAAATCCAGTAGACTCAACCTGCTGTTCTAATGCCTAACTGGCACAGTATAGTTTTATGCAATGTACAAAATATCTATTATTGGATATACTTTTTCAGCTAAACATATTTAGCCTGGGTAAAGATTGTCCATTGTTTCTTTTAAGTAACGTTTGCCACAGAAATATTGCCTTTAAGACGATTTTATCTTGGCTACCAGGTTGTTTCCTGCTTTTCCTAGCATCTAAAAACAAAAGTCATAAGATAATGCATTTGGAGCTTAATTCTTTTCATCAACATAAAATTGCTTCTGTATTGTACTGAATGTACTTTCACTGTTTTTCTTATATAAAAGTTTTTTTAAGTTGTCATTTTTACCTCTTATGTCCTTCTGTGTTGTTGTTTTGTCTACTATTCTAAATTATTGTTTAAAATACTAAGTGATAAAGCATAATGGTGTACATAGGGTCTGGAGAAACCTCACAAACATTTGAGAATATATCATTCTAATATTATTTTAAATTATCTTATTAGCCATATTTCAATGGCTGGTATGTTTAGAGGAATAGGATTTTTTCATAAAAAGGAACATACAAAGAAACGGCTGAAAAATCCTTTTGAAATTTTAACGCAAGTGCACATCATAATTTAAGAGTACAACTTGCAAGTCAATAATATACACAATGCTACGTTCAGCATTTTCTGGTCTGTCGTTGGACATTCAACATTGCACATTTCAATTGTTCATTTGTACGTTCGGATCTATATTTTTAAAGATTGTACTTTTTAGTTTTATCATTTCTGCTCTATATTTTTATTTCTACATTGTATGTCCTTTCTTGCTTCTCATAGAAGTGTTGTGCACCAAACACCAAGGCAAATTCCTTGTAAGTAGAAAAAAACCTACTTGGCAATAAACCTTATTCTGATTCTGATAAATACAAATGACTTCAGAGAGTACCGTAGTTGAAAAATGTCCTACAGTCCGTGAAGGCGTCGTGGTTCACAACTGCGTGCCTGCAGAGCTGCGCGTCTGGAGGATGAGGAGCGGCGGGGATGTTGCTGCTTCATCCTCTTCACCGATCTTATTTCTCGATCCCACCATCAGTCTGAAAACCAACAACTGCAGCCATGGCCTCGGACAGTAAGTTCTATCTCCCTCCTCACCATTATGTTGATTTCGTTTAAACGCGAACGGGATCTGTTTTCCATTTCGGTTTTATTGTGATTGATCAGGACCGAGAGGACGTGCAGGCCAGTTTAACATCACACTGTTTTATTTTTGTTTAAATCAAATGCGGCGAAAATATTACAGATAAAAAAAGCTGTCATCAATATTTGAATAATAGGTATTGTGGCCGAGAATGTTGTCAGTCGATATAGATTTTTTTTTTAGAGGAAACTTACAGGAGAGTTTACAGTTGCCTCATCATGTCTACTTCAATGACGCTTTTTTTTCTTTCTCAGGACTATTTTCGAAGACTTGAACTATAAATAGGGACAATTACTGAATGCAAATGCATTTGCACCTTTGTAACGCACAAGCAAAAGCCTTTTGTGATAACCATTTCTTTATATAATGTCAGAAATCATCAATGATCAATATACATATAGTAGCAGGTTTAAATACTCAGCAGCCTTGGTTGAATATGTTTACAAAATGTATTACATATATATTTTCTGATGATTTATTTTAACAGCTCGTCATTATATATCCTTACATAATCAATGAATATGCAAAACACTGTTTGTTTTTACTGTCAATACAACATTTCATAAAGTGAAATCTTTCTTTCATGTTTTAGCATTAGCAATAGAGAAGGAAAATCTTTCATATGATCCACTTAACCATAAATTACAGGATGCGTTGATGTTAGAAGGCTTATTTGACAACAGACAGGTTTTTTGTGTGGTTTTGTATTTGAACAAAAAACAGCGGGCGGGTGACATGCCACAGGCAGATTGGTATTTACCTTTTTTTATGTGCAGTGTGACAAGTCTTGCTGTGAATACACGCAAAACAACACACAAGCGGTTCTCTCGGTTGAAGCAGTCGACCGTGTGTGTGATAGAGCTTCTAGTTTATTGTGGCCTAGTTACACACTGCTTCCATGTCTAATTCATGTCTGTCTCCTCCTCTCACTCTGAGTGCCAGTTAATGCTGCTGTATCCTCGTGATAACGTTTATCAGGAAATTCGAACTGCTTTGAAATCCCATGTTTCTTCCTGTTAATTTGAGCACTTGGGCCTAATAGTGGAGCCTCACTGTCCGTCATTTTTGCCTGTACGGAAACTCCCCTCGGCCAGTTGTTTTATGTTGCGAACGGATTCAAATCACAGCAAAGAGATTTACAAATACGTACAACATTAAGAAAAACCATGAAAGATATTCTATAAACCCATTGGGAATAAGCAGTACAGAAAATGGATGGATGGATGGATGGATGGATGGATGGATGGATGGATGGATG